CCATGCTTTCACACAAAGGGTCATAAAAACTCCCCAGTATCTCAAAACTCCCACTTGGGATACCGGCCTTTCTCATTGGACAAGCCCATCTTGAGAGGTGGGGATCTTCTCCGACCTTAAAGGCATCACACCATGTGACCCGCCATGAGTCGGTGGTTTGTTTGAATTCTGAGAAGATGTGAGCTACAACGCTCCAGGACATCCTAAGTTCGTGCCAGGCTTCGGCCTTGACTTTCCATTCACTGGGATTCTCTGACTCAAACTGGTTGTTTTTCATCAACCAACTTCAGCAAAGATCCACGTGAGCCTTCAGATTGCATCAAAAAGATCCACGTGAGCCTTCAGATTGCATCAAAAAGATCCACGTGAGCCTTCAGATTGCATCAAAAAGATCCACGTTTTCATCAACCAACTTCAGCAAAGATCCACGTGAGCCTTCAGATTGCATCAAGCCTTTCTTTCAGACAGACGAGACGTGCAAGTATTCAAACTTAGTCTTATTAATTGATACATTAGGTATCATTGGCACCTTTTTACAAAGGTGTGTTTGAACTAAGAATCTGATGTTTCCTTCAGGTGTAAATCTGCTGAATATGCAAATGGTTCCATAACTTTGTTCTTATTTCTCTCCTGTTTACTGCGTTAAGCTTTAACCCTTTCCTATACCAACTGTATGTGTGTGTGTGTGTGTATGTTAGACCAGTTTAAGTGTTTATGTAGTATGTTAGACTAGTTTAAGTGTTTATGTAGTTAATAAAGCCTTACTTGTATCACACTTGACGTTGTTCATTGTTTGCTCATAACTGGAGTCCCTTATCATGCAGATTTATGCTACAAGCTCTGTGTAGAGTTGTACAGTAAGAAAGTTATTTCCCTTAACCAGGAAATTAACGTTCTTAGAATTGACAGACAGTTGACCCTGAGAGGTCAATTAAATATCTACAGCGGATCTAAATATTTATAATTAATTATAACTAGTTATGATTAATTATTCATATTTCCCTTATGAGCTGATTCGCTACATTTAGTAATCTAACCTCCACAAAATGCCACTGTGAACACTTCAATGTGGTGTGTGGAAATACACAAATCCACAGATTAAAAATTTCATACAAAAAAATAAGTCACCTTTTGGGAATAACTGGCCCGATGCCCATTTTCATGCAGACCACTTTACGAATCTGCACACCGACTGCACAGGTGGCCGTTCCGTTCCAGTAGCCGGTGCCATTTAGATTCATGGAGGAGTCCTCAATGCATGGTCCCCATGGCGACGCTTCCCAGTAGAACGTGATACATGGATGATCATTACAAGTTCTCCACTCCTCCAGAGCAGTAGCAGCTGGACATGCCTTAGCTGGGAATGGGAAAGATCATTAACTGCATTACAGATGGAAAAGCCTCTCTTAAGTTTGCTTTAATGCTCCATAAAATGTTAACGAGCTACATGAGCACAAGAGGCATGAAACAGAAATCTACTGGGACATGTGAAGGCATGTCGAAAGGAAAAATAGGCTGAGCTTTGTTATGTGGTACAAGAAATGCTTAAAAAGAATTTAAAAATTGTTCATGATGTGATTTCTGAACCACTAGCAGCATCAAATTAAATTAAACAACAACAATAACAACAACAACAATAATAATAATAATAATAATATTTTATCTCTTTGGTCAGTCAAACAAAGTTTGGTTGCTTCAAACTCAAGCCATTGGTTGAGTTAATGTTGCTGTCTGGTTATTCAACGCAATGCTAAAAGAGCCAATGTCACAGTGTTGTTATCATTAAAGAAAATTTAAATTCTTAAATTCTAATTGAAATAAAAAATAATTAAATTAAATTAAATATAAGATGAAAAATTATATGATTTGAAAAGATAATTTGAAATGTTGTAACTGAAATACATTTACATTTAGTCATTTTGCAGACGCTTTTATCCAAAGTGACTTACAATTGGGGAATACAATCGATTCTTCTTAAAGAGGTAAACAGACACAGGAAGTGCTCGTAATACCAAGTTTCAGGATGAAGTAAAGTAGCGTCGAAAGAGATGAGTTTTCAGCTGTCGCTTGAAAATTGTTAGGGATTCAGCATTCCGGATAGGGGTGGGAAAATCATTCCACCAGCCAGGAATGGGGAAAAAGAATGTTCTGGAAAGTGATTTTGAGCCTGTCTGTGATGGTACCATGTGGCAGAAATAAACTGAAAATAACTGAAAAAAAGTTTAAGTACTAACACTGAAGTAAAACTAAAACAGAAATAAAAATAAATTAAAACTATTTAAAAATTACACAAATTTAAATTATTTATTTTAAAAAGCACATAAAAAATAACAAAAATTTTAATTTAAACTAAAATTAAAATGAAAAAGCTATATTTAGCTTAGCTATATTTTCAAAATTATATTTAAAAAATCTTTAATATTACATAAACAATACTAAAATAACACTGGTGTTTGCAGTTTTTTGGGGAAAAATAAATCACCCTCGATGGTGTATATAAAGAATGAATGTAGTATTTTAACAATCAAAATATATACTCATATTTTAGCAAAATATTGCTATTGTTTAACTTCCCCAACACAGCAACAACAGCTCAAACAATGGCTTGAGTTTACCTCTTTGTCCAAACAATGAAGAACAGTCTGAGAAAATTCTGTCATCATTTACTCACCCTCAAGTTGTTACAAACCTGTATGACTTTCTTTTGTGGAGCATAAAAGTTGATATTATGAGATTTTTAATTTTTTTGGATGCAAGTCAATGATCACCAAAACTATTTGGTTTAGTGTGTTCTGCAGAAAAAAAGTCATACAAGTTTGGAAAGTGCATGACGACAACATTTCTATCCCTTTATATCATTTATTTAACCACACAACAGTGTAGAATCTGCCATCAACCATAAAATCAAAATAAATATCAGCTCATCTCTATCAGCCAGAGTTTTAATGTCGTAATCATTAAACTTCCTCGTACTTGAAATCAACTCAACATACTACACCTGAATCAGGAAACTGAATATGTATTCCACACGTGATGCAGGAACACCTGTGACAAGTTCTCTGGGATCAGCCTCCAAAATTACTTCTGCACTTTTTATAATTAAAAGTAATTCCTACACCATCTGCCCTTGAAGCTAATGACATTGTATTGACATTCAGCCTTTCTCCATAACACAGGGACTCATTATGAGTGTAACGCAGACTGGCTGAATATTAATAAGGGCTTGTCTGATTAATGACACTCGGTAGATGGTGTGTAGAGGCTGGGGCTTTATTTCCATTTTCCAGATGCATGAAGTGGGCAGAAGCAGTCTCCAGACTAAGGTATATTTAAGTCTTAATTACACAGCTCTTTCTGTCATTCCAGAAGGACTGTGCGTGATTGGAAAAGCCCACAGCTGTATGTAGGCAGACAGAAAAATGAGACCCTGTGAACACATTTTTATCACTGATCCTCGGAAACAAAGAATGCAAAATTGCTCCTCCACTCACAAAAACAAACTGATTAATGGTGTCACCCTCAGATGATAATAAATGAAAAATTTGTCCCTTGTCAAATCAATATCACAGCATTAAATTATCTGTTTGTTTGTTTTCTCATTTTATAAATATTTTTATTGTAATAGATAGGAAGGTGCAGAGAGTCTGGAACACGGTGGGAATGAAAGAGGTTAGGAAGTGACACATGCAGGCCAGACTGCAAGCTGTATCAGCACCATGTCACACGCTTTAATTAAAAATGAATTGGTCAGACATTTGTAAAAACATTATTATCCAATTTCTGTGGAAGATGAAAGTCAACTGACCTTCTCCTGGCAAGCCTAATATGGTCCGTGTGCGGCTTTGTCTGCCCTCTGAGTTTTTACTGGAGCAGCTGTGGGAGCAGGAGGACCAATCAGACCATGAGCTGAGCACACAGTCACCTGAACACGCCATCATGCAGGACACCTCTTTAGGGGGCGGCTCATCTTCACAGAGCTCCTCAGGAACAAGCTGCCCTGTTCAGTGGAGCATGAGACGAGTTGTAATGTCACTATCTTTACTCGGTGTTCATAGATAGAAGAGGTTATTGTTGTTGCTTCAAAGCAAGTACATTTGCCTATTTCTTTACTGAAAGAATGAAAAAAAGAGTTATACTGGCCATTATCAACATTTACTATTACAATATACAGTATATTGTAATATACAACGTGTATAGATTTTACATTTTAAAATCTATTAAAATACAAACCAGTTATTCTAAATTGTAATAATATTTAACATTTTTTTTTAAATCAAATACAGCATTAGTAATCATAAAACATTTTTAAAGAGCATTTAAAAAAAGCTTGCCAACCTCAATTTTTGTACATTAGTGTATACATGAATAATATTATATAATAATAAAAACATATAGCTGAACACACACACACACACACAAACACACTTTCTGTGGCCTGAATATTCTGTAGATATTGCCATTAGCCTTGAAAAACTCATATTATTCAACCACAAACCCATGGTACCTTTACAAGACAGAAATTCAATGCACTTTTGCATTGAGGTGGAATAAGCCATTCAATGAAATAGCCACATAACTCAGCGTTACAAGAGTAAATCATGATTATTGTGAGGCCCCCATTATAAATGTGCTCATATTCAGCGCTTTCATCTTTTCAATGCAACTTAGATGAAGACAAAGTGTTTTTTTTATCTCCAAATAAGAGATCAACAATTGTGATTCATCAGCCTTTTTGTGTTCAATCACTGAAATGGGAAACAAGAAAATAGAGGGGGCAATTTAGATTTCAATATGATGAACACAACCAAGTCCTCTAATATTCTGAAGACACTCCAAAGACTTAAGACGAGCCTGTCAAAGCTACAGCTGCATATCACATTGTAGCGATAATGCCATCAATTTCTCTATAAAAAAGGATCTGCTCTTCAATCTTCAAACAAATTAACCAACGGAAATATTTGCTTTGTGTGCTGCCACTGATTTTACTAATGACTGCTCGATAAGATGGGTAGAATTTGTTTCCTTTCGCCTACAGGAAGGAGGATTTGAACAGGAAACGATATTTGAGAGGATGAACCAAACGCCATTTAATTTATTGGATGCCAGTGAGCTATCAAAAGACAGAAGAAAAAGAGAGCTGGGCTGTCTGCTGAGGTTGGTGAGAGGGAAACTCTCATTTCATGCATGAAAGAGAGACATTAATCCTTCCATTCACTTCTCTAGGATTACACAAAACTCTCCTATAATGATTAAACCCAACAAACAGGCGCACACCCAACGGATCAATTTCCGGAAAAGTTTAAATATTGAATGAGTGAAGAACATCAGCACTCATGACGAGGTGTCATTATTTCTGTTGAACCCTGTCATTCACTTTTTTTGGGTGATGTTCTTGATCCAATGAGGCATAGATGGATATTCCCCAAGTCGAGTCTCCAGACCTTCTTTAGCACCAGGCTTCTTGAGTCATCAAAGCAAAGGGGCTGGCGAGGAGGGGCTGTAGGCATGTTCTTGGCAATCAAATTGGTGGCCACGTGACCCGGACGTCAATGAGATTGAGCATAAGTGTTGTGCGCATGAGGTGGAGGACCCCTGAGCGCAATTTAAACTGCAGACAGAACCAGAAACCTCCATTCATCCACACCGAGATCTCTACATCATGAAAACATGGTTTTGAAAAGGAGCTATTTAGTCTATTCTTGACACTGACTTCAGGGATCCAAGATATTAAGGAGATTTATTGACCACCTAAAACAAGTGCATTAGCATTTCTACTGGCTCCTGCAATGCAGAGAAATATCAACAAAAGAAAATCAGACTACCTGCATTAAATTGTGACACATGATATAAACATTATATAAACTACCTTTCAAAAGTTTGGGGTCACTAAGATTTTTAAAAAGTTTTTGAAAAGTCTCTTATGCTCACCAAGTTTGCATTTATTTGATCAAAAATACAATAAAACCGGTATATTTGAATATATTTTAAAATGTGATTTATTCCTGTGATGGCACAGCTGAATTGTCACATGATCTTTCAGAAATCGTTCTAATATGCTGATTTGGTGCCCAAGAAACATTTTGTTTATTATAAACAGTTGTATCGCTTTAAGGGTTAGTTCACCCAAAAATGAAAATTCTGTCATTAATTACTCACCCTCATGTCGTTCTAAACCCGTAAGACCTCCGTTCATCTTCGGAACACAAATTAAGATATTTTTGATGAATTCTAACAGCTCTCTGACCCTCCCATAGACAGCAATGTAATTACCACGATCAAGGTCCAGAAACGTAGCAAGGAGATCGGTAAAATAATCCATGTGACATCAGGGGTTCAACCGTAATTTTACGAAGCTACGAGAATACTTTTTGTACGCAAAGAAAACAAAAATAATGACTTTATTCAACAATTCGTCTCCTCCGCGTCACCCTGGTGCCATTTTGGAGAGTATCCACTGAACGTAAACAGCGTATGCTATTCTGTGTCAGCTGCGTCACGTGGATACGTTGTTTTCATTAAAATCAAAGAGTAAACAACATAGAAAACGTATCCGTGTGGCGCAGCTGACACAGAATAGCATACGCTGTTTACGTTCAGTGGATACTCTCCAAAATGGCACCAGGGTGACGCGGAGGAGACGAATTGTTGAATAAAGTCATTATTTTTGTTTTCTTTGCGTACAAAAAGTATTCTCGTAGCAAAAAATGACAGTTCAAGAGTCAGAAATAAAAACTAAGCAGCGAATGTTTTCATTTTAACCAACTGAACAGGGCTGCTATTCTCCTCTTCTGAATTATGCACAAACTGTAATACCTTAACAGCTGCTTGGCAATTTGAACACCTAACTATAATATGTTAAATTGCAGAAAGAATAATGCCAGAGCTCCAAATAACAGCTCTGACTTATGGGTCATATCGCAGGCATCAAATGATTTCAGCTTCCCACCTCCCTAAATCAATCCACTTCCCCTCTGTAATACAATATATCAAAAATAATTGTGAAAGTTTGAAAGGAACACTTTGCCCCAGGAGAGCTGGATGAAAATGTGCATGCAGATTGGGGAAATTAACCTTAACAGCCCACACAGAGAGCAAAAACCACTGAAAGAGCCACATCTTCCTGGCTGAAATCTCTTTGGCTCACTTGCATTTAAAAGGAGAGAAGAATAAATAAATAAAATAGTGCTGCTTGTGAGCGCCCCTTAATCTGTGCACCATTTCATGCAACACTGTTCACAAAGTACAAAACCCTCTATTCAAAAATGAAAGAGTAGGAGGGAGAGAGATCAAGAGAGTAACCCTAGATTCCCCTGCAAGCACAGACACAAAACTAGTTTGTGGGAAAAAGAAAAAAAACAACAACTTTAATTTAATCCAGCATTAAAGTCTGAAAAGAGCTGAGACAATGTCATAACTGGTACTGATAACAAGAGTAACACAAGACCTGTTCTCAGATCAGTTATCAGTCAACACCTCCTCCATATGGATGAAAGTTAGGCTGATTCATCATTCATTTTTCAGAGTTAAGGACAAACTTGTTCATTTAACAGCTCATAAGGGATTGCAGTAAATAATTGTTACAGTCTGAGAGAGCTGAAATTAATTACTAAAATTCTGACTCAAGTAATAATAATAATAATGATACAATTTTAAAACTTTCAAACCCTAACTCTTAAATTTGCGGCACTAACAGAGGCGTGGCTAAAGCTGTCCACACAATAGAAGATGAGTACAATTAGTTTTAGCTTAGATTAGACATTCTCTTGGCTACTGGAATGAAACTTTAACAATCAGAGCAGCATAACACGGCTCAGAGCAATTTCAGACAAATGAGCCAGTCTGTGCGGGTTGTTTTAAAAACTACCAATATAATTTGCATACCTATTCTCACTGAATGAAATCTTACCTTTAAAAAACAGATAAAAACACAAACACATTTAAGGTGAGGACACCACTTTTTGTCACGGCCAATTTTGTCCCCACCACTTAATAAGAGTATTTCTTCTGTTAAAAATGGAAAAAAAATTACTTGCGGCAGAGATGTATCTAATACAAAGGAATTGTTGAGCAGTAGTTTTCTTTTCATTACAGTGTGTTAGCCTGATAGCTGCAATGTCAGCGTTGGAATTGAAGTTCATCTGTGTCTTTGCTGTGGTTCTAATTATTGCTGGATCCTAATATATAGAAATATTCCCTACTGCACAGCCTTTACCCACACTCCACTCTCAACTCTCAACTCTCAACACACACATATATATATATATATATATATATGTGTGTGTGTGTGTGTGTGTGTGTGTGTGTGTGTGTTAGGGATGGGAAGATTCCCCGATTCGCTCGGTGCCTCGGCATAAAAAGTTAACGATGCAATGCATTGGTTTAAAAAATGTGCATTGGCTACAAGTTGTCATTTATATCGCGATGCATCGTTTCTAACATATTTGCATCGGTAAAAAACTATTCATTTATATATAATTACTAGTGGATGTGCTATACTTTTATTATTTAGAAAGTGACCAATAATCTGTGACCAATA